GCCGAATAGCGGACCGCAAAGTTTTGCACGGATTAAAATTCTTCGGCGAGGAGATTAAAATCCTACACAAGCGAGACTCATCTGTAGTTGCTAACATCGATCTTTTTTTTTCCCTTTCATGAAAATAATATGTTTTCTAACAGAAAAGTATAAAAAAAAATTTGAATGAATTTTTGTTTATTATTATTTATTTTTTAAATTTCATATAAAGGACTAAGTTGTAATATGCTAATACGGCTGAATCATTTTAACTCTTTTTTTTTCTTCTTTTTATTGAACCTTAAAACTTTATTTTGCAATTATTTCTCCAGAAAGTAATTTTTAAAAAAAAATTAAATATGACATTAAAAAATGCCTCAAAATCAGTTTACGACGTAGTGAGGTATTTGTAGCAGAAATTCGAATTCCTAATTTATGATTCCTATTTTCTCGCACAAATAGATTATTTCGAATTTTTCGCCTATACAGGTAGCACTAATATAGCCCTAAAACTTTTTTCTTGTGAAATAGCAAAAACTAGAGATAAAATTCAGTCACATACTTTACTGTTAAAAACTTGTATAGCCTTTATTTATAATTCATACATATTTACAATGTTCGATATGAAATATTACTACATATTACAGAACTTCCGATGAAATCAGTACTACAGTAGTTATAGTTTCCTTGTAAGAAGTACTTACTACAGTATATCTACTTCATAGCTGCTGTACTTGCAGTTTCCATGTGAGAAAAATCTTATAATTTGTTTTTTAAAGAGCTGTATTATCTGGCATATTGTACAAAAACCTGACTTGAACAAAAAGCGAAAAAACGTAAGCTTTCACTTTTCTTCAAATACTGTTCGTTATTGTGTTAAAGAAGCTACTGCAACCATAATTATTTACATGGTAGATTTTTAATATACTGGACGCGCAAATTTATTTTAAAGTGCCAATTTGGCGAAAGGTGATCAATTCGATGCTACTGCTGGCTCGCAACAACCACATTCATATATCTCATATGTTAAGCAGCATTCACATTGTATGTGATTGCCCGTGATTGTTTAACTGCATGTAATACGAAATGCTCGCGCATGCACGAATCACATTAATGATTAATCACGCATCCCAATCGCATGCAGTGAGAATGCTCCATTAGAGGAATCATGAGCTAGAGTCCTCTTACTGTCTGGCTAACAGTGAGAGGTTTTTCTCTTGAGTGCTCACTATAGAAGTCCTCGAGGGAGGTGAGTTTTTCCTTATCTTCTGGGTCGGATTATAAAAAGAAAAAAGAAAAGGCTATCGTGTTGAATATTGGCATAGCCGTCAATTCAATACAGACATAACATCTGTAAAAGAATAAATTTTATGTATATGTACTAACCATAATACATTAATAACCGATATTTGAATCCAAAATCTTCAATTTTTTCCCCTTGCCATTAAGTTGACAACTAAGCATAATTGGTTCGATAAAAAAAGAGAGATTCCTGGGTTTTAATAAACCGATAACTAGCTAATAATAATTAGAGCTGAACTTTATTTTTTTATTCGTTTAAGACTTTGAAGCTTATTAACCCAATTACTCTTTTGCAAAATTTTCTGTGGTATTTTTTTTTTCAAACATTAATACCGCTATAATTTCTAATATAAATGACTAAGTTTCCTAAAAATGAATCTTTTGCGATCCTACCTACCCTCGTCTACATTCCCTTTTCTAAATATTGAAATAATCAGATTTTAAACATCAATTCATATTTAATATCCAAGAAGCTTCAGGTGTGTCTGAGAAATCTGAGAAAATTCCTCCCCTTTTAATGTCATTTACATCCCAGCCTTATAATTTCATCCATCTTATAGCGTCTTCCATGTGAGTTCCTCCATTGTATGAAACAATGGTCATCTTAAAAGTTCAAGGTGAGCGTTATTAAACGATCCATAGGTAATCAGGCTTACCGCAATTTAGTTTCTCGGCAACAATAAAAGCTTTTGTTCAGCTTTCTTTAACCTTTTTTTAATTATTTATTTTTTTTATGCTATACCTGTTTAACATGTGATGTCCGCTTTTGCTTATTCAAAGAGTAAATCCGCTTTTGTAATGTTTAATTTATATATTCGTCATTTTAATTTATGGTGATAACGCTGAAATACGGAAGTTCAATTTAATTAGTGACAGGTTTGTAATTTAAGCCCTTTTAAATTTTGTAATATTAAGTTTACTATTAAATGCATAGTAAAGTTAATAAGTACATAGTAAGTTAACTTTAGTATTAAGTTAGTAAATATTGTCCTTAAGTGTCTCAAATTAAATTCTTTAGATTATTTAATTAAATTCTAAATAATTCTTTAAAGATTGAAGACTTTAGGCACTTATAATATTTTTAATATTAACTTTACAACATCATTTTTTTAGAACGGAAATTTTTTAATTATTATGATATGGTGAAAATTGTAATTGACATCAAAATAGATATAACATTTTGCTATTCGCCTTTAATAATATTTAATGTGTTCGCCGTTTTAATTTGCGGTGAAAACGCTGAAATACTTAACTTCATTTTAAATAAAGCGACGTTTAATCAGTGAAGTTTTGGGTGCATCTAAATGTAATAATATAAACTTCATTTAGTGAATCTTAGAATAGAAAATTTTGGAAGTATTTTAATATAGTGGAAGTATTTTAATATTATTAGTGTTTAAGTAAATAAAATTTTGTTATTTAAAAAGCAAGAGCCTTTAGTGATGTGTTCATCGTCTAAAATAATAATGATAACGCTGAAATATGGATGTTCAATTTAATGTTAAGAAACTGTGGTCGCTTCTATGTTCTGTCATTTGAATTCTACTGATGTTTATTTATTAATATTTAGAACATAAAACTTTTGAAACATTTAAATGTAGTGAATAACATGTGCAACTTAGTTCATATTTTTAAAAAAAAGGGGGTGATTTGATAAAGATCCATATATTCTTGAAATATATATGTTGTAAATGTGTATATATAAAAATAATTTTATTTATATTTATATTAAAAAAATCTTTCCCTATATATCAAACTGTAATTACTAATTGTATTATTTACAATAACTGATTAAAGGCATGTTTATTTTTTTTAATTTTTTTTTTTTTTACATTTTATTACCTGTGTTGAACAGCTGACCCAATTCTGAGTTTACAACTATCAGTATTTTACTCCGTAACCTTGTAATTTTGAACCCAACTCAGAAGACAAGGGAACTTCTGGACGTTGTGACAAACTAACCTTTGTGGAGGACTTATAGATGGAACTAATCCGCATTTGCATTATATGAAAAGAAAAACCTCCCGCGGTTAGCACGACGGTAAACCCATAATCCGTCTACCACTGAGGATATTTTACTTCAACTCTGTATTTACTGCGAGCCGGGAGCAGAATTCGTATCAACTAGCCACCACAGGGATTTGAACCTGGCTCAATTCCTTGGAAGGCGATCGTGCTCTATCCCCTGAGCCACTGTCATTTTAAAGCATTTTTTTTAAAGAAATATTATTTCGTTCAAATGTTTTTTTTCCTTTAATTTATTTTGAAAAGAAATTATCAATACACATTATGTATGGTTAAGTATGATGCATTATTCCGCATTATGTTACAAACGTTTAACTTTGATGAAAAATAAAAAGAATAAAACCTAAAATATTTCCCTAAATTCTGACTGCGCATGCGTATTCTAAGAAATAGCTGCTGAAAAAAATTGTAGATATTCGTAATTTTGCTACTCACTGTCTATGATACAATGTATTCTATGGTTCCTGTTGTCCATCACTCATGTTAATTCATCACACAAATCAAAACGTTTTTCTACACCCACACTCCTTCATGTAATCCTATCGGTACTACTTACATGACAGTTTTAGTCGACATCCCGCCATTTTCCTATCTAAACACGATGCTCACTGACAAGATTATAAATTCGTACGACTTCGGTTGTCACCAGTCGAGTTAAAATATTCCTGCAGCTGTTGGAACTTACCCCATTCTTCATCAAAAAATGCCACTCTAGTATCGCCAAGCAAATAGCTTATAATGACAGTTGGCATAACAAATAGGCTAAGCCTACTCCCCTAGATACTTTGGAAGACCCAAGGACACGTTTATGTGTGCCATGCCACCAAGACTTTAATTAAAGATTTCTTTCTGGCGATAAAAAGTGCCATTTGTTTCCTCCTTTAGAACACAAATTTCATCCCGTGGAAATGACTTGACCTTTTTCTGTTTGGAAATGGCGATGGATTTGAGCAACTCTATCTTTGGAATGTCTCATCATCCCCGAATAAAAGTTGCAGTAGCCGTTATTAATTGATGTAATCATCATTAATTTTATTTATTACCTCGAGTTAAGGATTCGGCATTGATATAAGTGTAATTTTTGGTCGTATATTCTAGATCAGTATCAAATTCTACTATTTGTGAATCACTATTTAGTGTTAGGATCTCTTTTCTTTCTTTTTATTTTCCCGCTTTTTCTTCTTTGTTTTTTCTGTTTTATTTATTTTTTTAAATTTTAATATCCCCTTTATTTTATTTTTTTACAAACTTATTTCGATTGAATTTTTATTTTGTATTGGTTTGCATTTTCCTTTTTAAAATTATTGGTAATATCGCCAACACACATAATAAGTATATTCCACTTAATAGATAGCAAGATAATGATACTTAAGGCAGCCTGATCTCACTTATTTCAGCAATCGATGCTCTAATTGCTTTAAAAAAGACTTGTTCCTGAAAACTGTACTAGACATATTGAAAAAAAAATCTGAAGTTCGAATCCCGATTGACCATAATTATTGATTGATAATTCCAAAATTAAAAATTATCCTAAAATCCCGAAATCTCTTAGTCAAATTGCTTCAAAACCAATTGAAGTTGCTGCAGTAGAGTGCTTCCAAACCTCTATTGTTATTCAAATCTGACGTGTATTTATGTTATATTTCTTGTTTATAAATTATGTTATTTAAATGTGTGCTTTCATTCTCCCCTAGGTGCATTTATACTTCAGTGGCATACCTGAGGCCAAAGTGCCGTACGTGAACAGTGTGGGAGAGAAGTACCGTATTAAGCAACTTCTGCACCAGTTACCGCCACACGACAATGAAGTTCGTTACTGTAACTCACTGCATGAAGATGAAAAGAAAGAACTGAGACTTTTTTCTCAACAGCGAAAGAAAGAAGCTTTGGGAAGAGGCACACTCAAACAGCTTGCTGACCCTCAACCGTGTCGGAATGTAAGTATCATTTGTCCACTGGTCATAAACTCATATAGCCGAAAAGAATGGTCAAGCAGTATAAAGTATAAGTTCTGAATAAATAACCAGCAATGTATATATATATATATATATATATATAAAATTACAGAGCATTGAAAAAAAGGGGGGTGAATAATAAAAATAATGAGAAACCGGAAAAAAATCCGAGAAAAAGGAAAAAATTTATAAAAATCTGGAAAATGAAGATATAATCTTTTCATCAGCTCACACGATTATATCCGCAAAAAAGAGTGCTTTCTAATATTGTATCAATATAGCCAAAGCGAAATATATCAATACAATAGTGTGAGAAGCACTCAAAAAAAGTTGAAAAAAATTGACAACAAATAAAATCGAACACATTAAGTAAAAATATCACGTAAAGACAGAAATATGTATATAGTTCTAGGTAACTTGTGGAATCATTCGGATTACTGTTTTACAATTGACTGTGAGGATTAATAATGAAATAAATCTTCACAACTATGAAAAACATGAAAATTGAATAACTAACCAACAACTAATTCTTTAGAATGACGTGTAAGACACAGGGGTGTAAAATAATAGTGATTTGTGTTAATAGTGAAGTGTAAAAGGTAAGAGAAGTTAAATTATAGTGTGTGAGTGTTAATTAATAATGACGTGTATTACATAAGAGTGTCTAAATTGCAATGATGCGTTTAAGTTATGGGTGCTAACTACTAATGACGTGTATAAGTTAAGCAATATGATGAGATATTGATTATGTTTGAGATGTAAAAGATATGGGACTCGTAATGTTGAAAATCTTGGCCTAATTGTGCAGTTTGTTTAGAGAAGTGCCCAGGCTGTTATGGTGCATAAAATGTGACCATCGTGTGCTGATACTTATAAAGATTATTATTTAATGCTCAAAAATTGCATATACTTTTAGTGAATTGACATTCTGAGTTTTTTTTTTCTCTGTAAACACCAATTCAACAGGCTTATAAATATGGATGTAGTTCAAATTTTGTAAAGATCAGTTTCTACTTGGAAAATTGGACCCTTATAATAAGTTAATATTTGTTCATTTTAATAAATGCATTTCTGGTTAAATATAGCAATTATTAATTAATAGCTTCAGTTAAAAGTTTCAAATTCTAATATTTATTAGTTAAAATTTTTGAAAAATGTAATAGTTTTGCGACATATTCATATAGGAGTTTTCGAAAAAATTTTAATTAAAATTTTTCTATTGATTTTACCTCCGACAGATTATCAGAAAATTTTCGTAGTCTAATCATAAAATCAATTCAATTTACGAAGTCAATTTTGATACATAAGAGGTAAACTGATACGGAGTAATATTTTATTATTATAACTTTAATTAACTGTAACTGTTACTTTACTTACATTTATTTATATTGTGATTTGCAGGAGGCGTTTCATTTGTTGGTTCAAATTTTGTACTTTTTAGTTGTGATTCCTTTTCGTAGTGCTTTTCAATTGTGGTAAAGGTTATCTATTTTTGTCTTTCATTATGGGGCCTCGGGGCACTGTTAGTTTTGGTTAAATCCACTAACAACAGAAAGGCTCCTGTGTGTTTGCAGGCAGTGTGTCCCCTGATGAAGTACTGTTTTGCAAACACACATTTATATTTTCATTTTTATTTTAATTGTAACGATTTTTACTAAAATTTCTACTAAAATTTTCGTAGTTTAATTATTTACTTGTTTATCTTTTATTTATTTATCTTCTATATCTTTTGTAATTTTTCATTTTCCCCTTCTTGAATGGTACTAATTAGGATTAATTTGTTCTCAATTTCTAGAAGTTTAATATATATTTAATAGCTTTAAATTCAAGTTGGTTTATTATTTTTTATTTATCTTATTCTTGTCTTTATATAATGATACCTTTAGATAACAGTTTTAAAGCTTGCATTCATATTCTTAAAGGAATGTATTATTTTATATTTTTGCTTTTAAAATCGTGATATCCGAATGAATCATAGCATATTAATCTGCGGCTGCAAACGATTGACCTATTTTAACAATTATTTAAATTAATGAAATAAAAAAATTTCATTCGCTAAAAAAAATTGTGGCTTATTTTTAATCTCAAAATTAGTGACATTGAAAAAGTATCAAAGTATCGATACTTTTTACAGTAATATCCGTCTGATAGGATCAGTTGGAATCAAATCTTCCTTTCGATAGTATTTATTGGTATCAATAATTTTTTTTATTAATAAAATTTTAATTGTGTAACAGTATAAATACATTCCATTCTACATATAAATTTTTTCTTTTGTTGACAATTTATTGGGTATAAATTTTTAAGTTGTAGGGTATATATAATATAGGTAGTCTTCTGATAAAATTAGGACAAATGCGATTAAATAGTTAATTATAACTAAGGCCCCTAAGTCTCTGATTAACTTAAAACGAGGTTTGAAATCCATTAAAATTTAATAAATACTGCAATTATTGAAATTAAGGTTATTAAACATAGTTGCTTCGTGATTTTCTTATTATTATCAAATACTTAAATTCTGACTTTTATAAACTAAAGATAAATTCAGCTTCTTTGGAAGTTTGTTTGCCTACTAAAATAACCATATAGTGTTTACTAAAACATAAATCTCAATTTAGTAACGATACTTAAAGTCTTTAAGATAACAGCTGTATTCCTATTTTATTAAGATACTGTCGATATTTGATTTCGTAGTATCAATGATATCAATACTTTTTCTATATTTTTTAAGGTATTTTCTTTTGATTACTATTTAAAATGAGTCCTAAAATTTATGTTACTACCATTTTACAATCTTCATCTATGAAAACGAAAAATAAAATCCCTAGTTTTTCAAATCCTCTTTAAATTACTTTTTTTTTAAAAATTCCTCGCTCATTAGGAAAAATCCAATACTTTTTTTCATTATTTCAACCTTCTCTAAGTTCAAACCCACAAATTCAACTGCTACTGCAAATTGCAGCAGACTATTTCATTCCATCACACGCTTAAGGGTAATTAAACTTAATCCCATTGCATCATGGGGGGAAAAATATTCATAGGAAGTGGTATTTGTCTTCTTTCCCCAGATGTAGTTAAGTATTATTTTGTATCGATTATTTCTATAAGGGGTTGAGGGGGTGTGAATCGATAAGAGGGGTCCAAACAATGAGAAAGTCAAAACCAGGAGCGATGATGCATTCCAGGAGAGGGGAGAGAGTGAAAAATGGATCCCAGGACAGGATTAATCTTGCCAGGAGTTTTCGGGATAGGGTGGATGACATCATACCAGAAGGGATCTCTCCCTGAACCCAGTTTAAATCGGAAGTTTTTAATCGGCTGCTAGCATCTATGCTGGGCGGTTTGCAATGTTTTGTCCTTCTCCGGTATGTAGGAAAATTATTGCTTTTCCATAAATTCATTTATTTATTTACAAATTTTTTACTTTTTGCAGCAGGTTTTTATTTTTATTTTTTTACTTAAAATGTCATTGACAGTGCTTTTATTTTTTTACTTTGCAATGATAGTTCGTGGAACTTTTTATAGTTATTTAAGGTTTTAAAACTGATAGCCCTGATTCAATAGTGCTCAATATAAATGAAATAATTTTACTTCCCTCTAAGCTTTTTTATCGGTAATATTTTGATAATCAACTATTTATACTTATGATAATATATGCTGATCGTATAGTTACATTGTTTTTCAATATCTTTAATACAAAATTATTATTTGTATTATTATTGTTAAATTATTAAGTCTTTAATCGGTTGTTGGCATATATGCCGGGTGGTTTGCAATGTTTTTTCCCTCTCCTATATGTAGAATTACAAAAATTATTGCTTTTCCATATATCATTTTATTTATTTACAATTTTTTTAACTTTTTGGTGCCGGTTTTTAATTATATACCGCACTGAGTTTTTACTTAAAATGTCATTAACGGTGTTTTTATTGTTCTTTTTCATGTTGCAAATATAATTCCTGGAGCCTTTTAGAATTATTCAGTTTAAAGTCTTAACTGATTGCCCTGATTAAATGACTTTCGTAAAAATAAAATAATTTTAATTCTCTCCTAAGCTTTTCACTCGTTACGTTTTGGTAATCAACAATTCATACCTAAGATAATATATACTGATCATATCATATATTGTTTTTCAATATTTTTTACGCAACAAAATTTTTTTTTGTATGTCTGCTATTTATTATCTCGAATTGTATTGGCGAATATAATGTTATAATCATTTCTGAACATTTTAGTTTATTTTATCTTATATTTACTTTTTATAGAATCAGGTCACGAAAAAAAAATTATGAAACAGATAGTTTAAAATTAAGTGACACATCAATAATCTTAGTCCCCTTTGCTGGTCAAAATGATAAAGTTAAAAATGCAAGGCGATCATAAGGACTTTTATTTTAATGTTAAAAATTTTATCTTTGCAAACACTTACAAAAACGAGGTAAATATAGAAAAATGATGCCTTAAATGTAAATTTATGATAACGTTAACGGTATTTGTTCCAATAGAGTTAATGTAGTACTGTTTTCTAATTTTTACTTTTATTTATTTATTTTTTGAGAAAATATTAAATGTCCGAGTCCATTTAAGTTTCAAAAGTTTATTTTAGCAATTGCGCAAGTACAAAAAAAAACTGTCTTATTTTAATGAGTTTTATCTTAAATTGTACTTTAAATAATATATTTAAACAAGCGATTGTTTTGTTCATTTATTTATTTGTTTAAAAATTTTACCATGCTCTTTCTCCGAAAAATATAACTCCGTTGCTTATCCGTGCAAAAGCACTATGTAAAGTTTTATTTACATTATATATGTAAAGGATAGACGCTTCAATTATTTTCGTATAAGTATCATATATGCTACTATAAGATAAGGTAAAGTGCTATAAGGTACTAAGTTTCGTGCTAAGGTCTTTCGTGCAGTTTTCTCCCGTTTTTCAAGCGTGTCTGTTAGCAGAGCCTGATGAAGGCAGGGGCAGTTGCCCCGGGCAGAGAGGGCCCCCAAATCAAATAGAAAGTTTGTTTTAGGTTTCCTTCTTTAATGAACTTTTTTAAACAAAATATCAGTACAGTGTAAAATCTTTCAGTTTTATGTTAGCTATCGTATCATTAATCTATCGTATGAACACAAAAAATCTATATTTCGTAATTCCATGACTTTCTAGTGCAGCATTCAGCTAAAATTTTGCAATTACGAGGGACAAATTTAGCCAATCAAAAGCCTGTATTTTTACATATCTCAAAATGCGATATGTTTACAAAAATACAAGCTTCTGATTGGCTTAATTGAGCCATCATAATTGCAAAATTCCTCTTCGTTGGTAGACAGCCCTGGGGTAATTTTGATACATTTCTATGATTTTTCTCCACGTTGCAAAATTCCCAAAATATAGTTGATAAACAATTCGCACGTTTTATAGAAACTTTTATATCTTAGTTTGCAAGTAATGTTATCAACAAAATTGTTTATTATAAAAGCAGCGTCGCCTTTATTTTCTTTCTTTTTTTTGCATCATTTTAACAAACAAGTTAAAAACCACTCCTTTCCATTCATCATGTGTCCAACATAAACCATACCATTCATATAATTTTTTGAAAATAATTCCTGCCACTGCCTACTNCTGACCGTATTGCTACATTGTTTTTCTATATCTCTTATACAAAATTCTTATTTGTATTATTATTGTTAAATTGTTAAGTCTTTAATCGGTTGTTGGCGTATATGCAGGGCGGTTTGCAATGTCTTTTCCCTCTCCTGTATGTAGAATTACAAAAATTATTGCTTTTCCATATATTCTTTTATTTATTTACAATTTTTTTAACTTTTTGGCGCCGTTTTTTAATTATATACCGCACTGATTTTTTACTCAAAATGTCATTAACAGTGTTTTTATTGTTCTTTTTTATGTTGCAAAAATAATTCCTGGAGCCTCTTAGAATTATTCAGTTTAAAGTTTCAACTGAATAAATAGCGTTCGAAAAAATAAAATAATTTTAATCCTCTCCTAAGCTCTTAATGTTTTGGTAATCAACTATTCATACCTAAGATACTGATCGTATCATACATTGTTTTTCAATATTTGTTAGGCAACAAAATTATTATTTGTATATCTGTAATTTAATTATCTCAAATTGTATTGGCGAATATAATCTTATAATTATTTCTGAACAGTTTAATTTATTTTATCTTATATTTACTTTTTATAGAATCGGGTAATGAAAAATTTTTTTTTTATGTAACAGATAGTTTAAAATTAAGTGGCACATCAATAGTCTTTGTCTTCTTGCTGGTCGAAATGATATATAGTTAAAAGTGTAATGCGATCATAGGGACTCTTATTTTAATGTTAAAAATTTTATCTATGCAAACACTCACAAAAACGAGGTAAATATAGAAATACGATGCCTTAAAAATAAAATTATTGTAATCAGCTTTAACATTAACGGTACTTGTTCCAATAGAGTTAATGTAGTACTGTTTTTTAATTTTTACTTTTATTTATTTATTTTTTGAGAAAATATTAAATGTCCGAGTCCATTTAAGCTTCAAAAGTTTATTTTAGCAATTGCACAAGTACAAAAAACAAACAAAAAAAACTGTCTTATTTTAATTAGTTTTCTCCCGTTTTTCAAGCGTGTCTGTTAGCAGAGCCTGATGAAGGCAGGGGCATGCGGGGCAGTTGCCCGGGGCAGAGGGGGCCCCCAAATCAAATAGAAAGTTTGTTTTAGGTTTCCTTCTTTAATTAACTTTTTTGAGCAAAATATCAGTACAGTGTAAAATCCTTCAGTTTTATGTTAGCTTCTTCATTAATCTATCGTATGAATACCAAAAATCTATGTTTCGTAAATCCATGTCTTTCTAGTGCGGAATTAGCTAAAATTTTGCAATTATGATGGTTCAATTAAGCCAATCAAAAGCCTGTATTTTTACATATCGCAAAATGCGATATGTTTACAATAAATACAAGCTTCTGATTGGGTTAATTGAGCCATCATAATTGCAAAATTCCTCTTCGTTGGTAGACAGCCCTGGGGTAATTTTGATACATTTCTATGATTTTTCTCCACGTTGCAAAATTCCCAAAATATAGTTGATAAACAATTCGCACGTTTTATAGAAACTTTTATATCTTAGTTTGCGAGTAATGTTATCAACAAAATTGTTTATTATAAAAGCAGCGTCGCCTTTATTTTCTTTCTTTTTTTTGCATCATTTTAACAAACAAGTTAAAAACCACTCCTTTCCATTCATCATGTGTCCAACATAAACCATACCATTCATATAATTTTTTGAAAATAATTCCTGCCACTGCCTACTCTATCTTTCAACACAACGCGCCCACACAACTAGCAATGATACCGCGTGTTATTTAGATACCTGTCAATAAAATGATTTAGTCTCTCAAACTATTATCCACTTATTCCTTATTTCCATACCATTTCTATTGAATTTGCATAAAATTATAGAAACATGATACTTCTGAAACTGGAAATTAATTGAGAAATGGTAATAAGAAATTTATAATTATCTTTCACTTTCCAATTAATCATTCTTTTGCTATTGATATTCTCTCTATAAAGCGGCAATGAAATGAGAAAATATTGATATCAACAGCCCAGCGAAACAAACATGGCAATTAAGGCACAGTTGGCAATTAAAGCAACTATTTTAATGTACGCTCGTTGGCGAACTGTTTGATTGTGGATTTATTATTCATAAAGAGAAAGAAACGAAATTATAGAAATCGAATTGGGTACTTGCAACTCGAGAAGAAGACGATCACAAAACACGCAAGTGACCTATGATCTGAGCGCTAGATGATCGTTTAAAAACAAGAGGGCGTGTTTAAGTCAAGCTAAGCTTCTCCCACTTAAGTTAGAATGTTAATTAACGTGAAATTAATTAAATACAACGCCGTATCGCACATAGTTAGTTAAAATATCTAATTATTTCTCGTCTAGGTGTTTTACGCAGCTTAGATTTATTCTTTGTTTGTGTATTTTAATCGTGATATGTTTTTATTTTGTGTACTTGGCAACTTCGATGCATAGTTAGTATGTTTTATGTTCTATTTGGCTTCGAGACTGTCTTCGTGTTAAATAAGAAATATACAGTGAAAGAATCGAAAGCTTAGTAAAGGAATATAGAATGTGTCGCTTAAGAGAATTGATGCTTGATGGTCTTGGCATACTCGAAATAGAATTAAAGTAACGGTTGCTTACGTAAACAAATGCCACGTTTCAACAACCAATCAGGATAGAGATATTAAATAAAAAAAATTATTGTTCTAATCCCTCCTTTTCTTTCATTAACTTCGATACTGATTGGCAAGAGTTAGTAAACTTATTGGAGGGAAAGTTCTGTCGTCAATCGATAGTGATGTTTTGCAATCCATGTTGGAAAATAATCCACATTTAACAAGTCGAGAAATAGCAGAAGAGTTCGGCATTCATCATACAACTGTTGGACATCACATTAAATCTCTTGGGTTTGTGTTAAAGCAAAGTGTTTGGGTTCCACATGAATTAACGGAAAATAATTTGTCTGATCGTGTAAGAATGTGTTCATCACATCTGATTAGACACAGTGTGGAGCCGTTTTCGGACAGGCTGGTTACTGGAGATGAAAAGTGGATTCTTTACGAGAATATTAAGAGAAAAAAATCCTTCTGCAAACCAGGAATTGCGTCAGCAACAGTTCCAAAACCAAGTATCCATCAGCGAAAAGTACTGCTTTGTTTGTGGTGGGACAGGAAAGGTCCAGTGTACTACGAGTTGCAGAAACAGGGAAAAACCATCAACGCGGATCTGTACTGTAATCAGCTAGATAAATTGAATGCAGCTATCAAAGAAAAAAGGCCAACATTAGCGTCCAGAAAAGGAATAGTGTTCCACCACGATAATGCTCGCCAGCATACTGCAATGGTGACACTACAAAAACTGAATGCGTTAGGATGGGAAATCCTTAATCACCCACCGTATTCACCTGACATTGCACCATCAGATTGTAATCTGTTCAGATCTCTGCAAAATTATCTAACGGGTAAAAAATTCAAGTCTTTTGTTAATGTTTCCAAGGCAGTTGCTGATTATTTCAATTCTAAGGACGAGAACTTCTACAAAACAGGAATTCACTGGTTACCTGAAAGATGACAACAGGTTGTAACAAATAACGAAGCTTATAAAATTGATTAATATTAAACGCATATTTTTATAAATGAATTCAAATATTTTCTTTAAAATACGACAGAACTTTCCCTCCAACCCAATAATTGTTCCTTCTATGTAAGCATTAATTCGTGACCCGTAATATACAAAAAAAAAATTTTTTTTCATTTCATTTTTAGCAAGAGTTCTTTAAATATTGAAGGTTATCGTTACGGAACATCCTGTGTATTTTTGATGGGTACGTACAAATATTTTCGAGTGAAAGAAAACGATCATAATCTGATTTTTGCCAAATAAATCTTATAAGAACTGAAAAGTCGAGAACTCAGAATAAATGGTTTGCACTGAAACTTATAGATTATACAGTGAAACCTGTGTAAGTTGACCACTTCTGGGACAAAAATTCGATAGTCCACTTAGACAAAGATCAAATTATAAAACTGGTATTTAATTGGGTTTTTTTCTTCCAGTTTTTTCTTCCAGATCAACTTAAGCTGATGATCAACACACAGAGGGAGTCAACTAAACACGTTTCATTGCTCTATCAAATATTTAAGTGATACCAAATGAAAATGAATCATATCAAAAGAATATTATTTTCAATATCTTTAAAATTTATTGTGCTTTTATTTTATTTAATCTAGTGCGATGAATCCATATCCCGCGGAGATATGGCCGTGTTCGCGTCCCGAGCTGGCCCCAATTCCTCCTGGCATCCCGGCTGTTTCACGTGCAGTGTCTGCAAAGAGCTTCTCGTGGACTTGATATACTTCTTCAAGGATGGCAAGCTGTACTGTGGAAGACATCACGCGGAGAGTCTCAAACCCCGTTGTGCTGCTTGCGATGAGGTGAGAATGGGTTTTTTTACGTGAAGTTACTGTGAAACCTGTGTCTGTATCAATATGATGGTTCACTTAAGGCCTGTTTATACAATCCAAGTTTTTCGACCAAGATTAATGGAACTTGTTTTGCTTGAAGCTTACATCGTGTAAACGATCATCCAAGTTCTTGATCCAAGTCCTTAGATGATAGTAGAGCATGTTCTACTTTCCATCCAAGTTCCCTTAACAAGGTTTTTCGAAGGGAAAGGGAAGTTAAGAAAAATAAAAAAGCCACAGTTTTCTTACACTTCAAGCAAACCGATGATTGTTTACTATATATATTATCTTCCCGTGAAGAATTATTTGAGCTTTAGAACGAACAAATAACTTACATATTTTAAGAATTATTAAATTTTTTTAAAAATCGCCAATTTGGCGACGTTTTTCCACTTAAATGTAAATTATCAAAATCACTGCATTGTTTTCAGATTTTGTAAATTTATATGAGCCCAGATAAGGCAGCATTGGAGTAAGTTTCTAAATATTAAAAAATTAGACCCCAAACGCTATCCATTTTAACAAAACTGTGGCTTTTCTTCATATTGACGTATTGCGCCATTTTCAGAATAGAAATAGACAGCACTGACTTTAGATAGGCTTAACTTGTCCTAACAGTCACGAGTAACTGTACCAAACTCACAGCAGTTATGACCATAGCATATTATTCTCAAAATAGCATTTCGTATGAGGGCGGAGCCTTTGGAAAACCGCCTTAACCAATCCGACTCTAAAGTTTCGAACGTCAGCAAGCAGGCATCTGATTATGTCATTTTGCTGTAAGTTTTCATATATTTTAATCCAAATAAATTAATCTGTTAGGGTCTATNAGGCATGAAACCGGTCTCTCCCCAGATGGCGTATTCGAGTGTTGCGATCGCGAATATTGACGTATTGCGCCCTTTTCAAAATAGAAATAGACAGCGCTGACTTTAAATAGGCTTAACTTGTCCTAACAGTCACGAGTAACTGTAGCAAACTCACAGCAGTTATGACAATAGCATATTATTCTCAAAATAGCATTTCGTATGAGGGCGGAGCCTTTGAAAAACCGCCTTAACCAATCCGATTCTAAAGTTTTGGACGTCAGCAAGCAGGCATCGGATTATGTCATTTTGTTTTCCGTTTTCATGTATTTTAATCCAAATAAATTAATCTGTTAGGGTTTATTTGTGTTATTACGTTTTTATTTAAATTTATTTAGTAATTTTGAATAATGTTGAATACGAACAGTGCGCATGCGCAGGTTTTTCATCCTACCACCAATCAGCAATTCAAAAACTTGCATAGTTTCAACTAATCATCCAATTCCTTGGAGAGAGATATTCCTCCAAGTTTTCGAATTCAAAAACTTGGACCGTATAAACAAGCCTTTAGGCAGGCCATCAATTTACGAAGAAGTGATACAACTGTTTTTTCTAATCTGGTGCTTGATTATAGAGGTCAAGTAATACTTGGTCAATTATAGAGATGAACTTGGATAAGTGATCTACTTAACAAGCGTTACTGTATTTCGATAAACTCCTTTCGTATTTTACTCTGTAAGCGCCAATCTTTGACTTGAAGGATTGGTCTCAGATAGGATAACTATGTCTAACTATCAATTAAGTGACAATGACTCAAAAACATACTTTCTCTAAAGGAAATATTATATCTTCGACTAATTATAAAATATATAAATATTAACATTATTATAAATAAGTCATTTTAATGAACAAATTTAAAATTAGCGAGTTTAATTACGATTATAATTTGTAGTTCATAGTTATAATTAATAGTTATTTACGAGTATACTTTTTAGTTCTAATTTATAACTATTTAACTGTTTTTGTTCTCAACTCAGATTTCGTTATTTAAAATTATATAGTTTAAGAAAATATAAAAACTTTCACATTTTGCAGTGAAAAATTTTTTTTATCATTAATTAAAAAAAATAAATAGCATTATTTAATTAATAATGATTAAATATTTTCTTTCGCGAAAGTAATTTGGGGTAATTGAGTTTTATTAGTTGGTACAAAAATGTTTGAGTGTCCAGAGATAAAGCGAAATACGCAAAAATTTAAATGATGTTACTTTTGACCGGTCTCTTAATTAAGCTAAAAGTATTTTTTAAAAAAATTTAAAGCAACACCGTAATAGCCCGTTGTGGACCACGGAGGTTAAGACTCCTCAATTTCATCATCAACTGAATGATAGTGGCAATTCAGTTAGCATTGCGCACCAACCGCTTTTACTTCCCAGAAAAATTGGCACCCATCGATCTGAAGCTGCGTGAGTTAAGAGCCACCATTGGGGATCGATCCTTTTACTAAACTGTTTAAACCATATTGTCGAGACTTCGGCTACCCTACCCTATAAGTGGGGATTCAGAAATTAAAATCCGTCTAAAAGCACGTTTATTTAAAGGAAGTTCGTATTTTCTCTAGTTTCATACTTAATTTTTCGTCTACACTGTTTAACGATGTTTTTCGAAACTCAGCCTGAACGAAAAGCAAACAGCCTACTCAACGTACTCTGGAATACGATCCCTAGGTCAAAAATTGCTCTTTCTTAATCTTTTTTTTCGCGCCCTGTCTATGCTTCGATTGATGTATTGAACCATTCATTTACCTAAGGATATACTGAAACTATGTATAGCATTCAAAATTTAGAAGACGCGGAATATCTTTAACCTTGAATGACTTCATAGATATCTATGTATAAGTACAGCAAATATCTATGAATGATGAAATGATGTTATTAAATATAAAATGTACCTTTTCAGATAATATTTGCCGATGAATGCACAGAAGCTGAAGGTCGAGCGTGGCATATGCGGCATTTTTGTTGCTTTGAGTGTGATCGCCAACTTGGCGGTGAGCGATACGTCATGAGAGACGGACGACCCTTTTGCCTGCACTGTTTCGATGCAACTTTTGCTGAATATTGTGATTCTTGCGGAGATCCTATTGGGGTGGACCAGGGACAAATGTCACACGAAGGCCAACACTGGCATGCCACGGAAAATTGTTTCCGATGCCACTCATGCCATACGCCATTGCTTGGAAGACCTTTCTTGCCACGAAAAGGCCTTATTTATTGCTCCGTCCATTGCAGCAAAGGTAAACATCGTCTATTGTCACTTTAATCTTAATAAACGTTGTAGTAATTTTTCAGATTTTTTTCATCATTGATTTCGTCAATAGTTATTGTATTTATTAAGACCAGTAAAAGATAGTTTTAATAATCAAAAATTTCTTGCACTTCGTTTGTCGAAACTCCGCGAAAAGAATTTAAAGTAACTATTATGCTGTCTCCAATGGTTTTACGTCAATATTACTATTCATAGTGTTTTAAAAACGCATCCGACTTTACTTCATTGAGCAATGAGCATTTTTCAATGAAGTTTGGATGGCATCATTTTTGGCTAACTATTGAGTCGAACAAAAGCGCTCAAAAGCAATTGAATATAGAATATTACCAACTAGCTATAGAATTGAATCTTGAGCAATATCAGTTCAATTACACGGCAGAATCTAAACATATCATATCAAATTTCCAAACTGTATTAAATGTAATTGAGTACTTGCAACTCGAGAGGAAGTGAAATGATTATATCTAAACATGTAATTCAAATCAGATTTAATTAAATGCCTGTAAGCGATGTCACGCGTGTTTGTCGAACTTGATTGGCTTCTGAATCGACAAATACCACGATTTATCTACAATAACGTCCATTGCAGGTATCCAGTTAGAATCTTATGTACAAAATTAAACCTTCCACACAAGCGTTGGCAATTATATTGACATCTTCTATGATTTTTCTTAAATTGCATCTTTGACAACTATTTAATACGTATGTTGCCGTGGCATTGAAAAAATAGCGAAGTGCCTCACGCTAGATTTCGAGAAAAGTTTGACAACTATTTTATTTCTGTTGCTAATGCTGTTGAAAGCTAAATCACAGTTTCAAAAAACTGATAAAATAAAATTTTCATTGAAAAAAAAATCTTCCGCAATAAGTAGCATATCATACAAAAATGCCAAATATATATAAATCACAATTTTGAATTTTTTGACTCTTACATTGTTTATTCTATTGCATGGCAATAAGATAAGTTCTCTGCCCTGCAATTGAAAAATTAACGTAAGCGACAAAAAATTCAAAATTGAGGTTTTTATATATTTGTCATGTATGTATGATAAGCTAATATTGCAAAAGAAGTTTTTCAAAAATAAATTTTGTTCTAGCAATTTTCTGATAGTATATTTTATCGTTCATAGCATTAGCAATAGAAAGAAAATAGTTGTCAAGCCGCTTTTCTCAAAATTTATCGTGAAACACTTGCTTTGTTTTCTCAATTGCCCGACAGTACTATAGTAACAGATTATAATATCAAATGTGATAAGTTACATTAAATGGCATGTATTTTTCTTTTTTAAATTAAGTAACTTATAATTGATTTCAGTGGGTGAACAAAGTAACAGTAGAAGAGGTAAATCATTCCAAACAAATCCACCAAGTGAGAATCGAACATCCAGCCCTTTGGTACCTAGAAGTCCATTGGTTCCATATCGCAATGCTACCAGTACGCCGAACAACAATCTCAATTTACAACAACAAACAGAGAATAAAAATACAAGTTCCTTTATCAAGTAAGTGTGCACTTATCCACCAGATCTAATTAATCCACTAGATATTTTTTTACCACCGATGTTTTTATTTATTTTTTATATTACCGGCCTATATGTTCAACTCTGTTCTTGTCTTTTCGAATCTGATTCAGAAGACAATGAAACTCCTGAGTCTAGTTTCGGGACAGACATTCCTATGTTGAGTATCATTTGAACCGACTTCGCCCATTTCAGAAAAGGGCAGACTTAGCCAATATGCGGTCTGCCGTGTAAATAATAACTAGTAACTCGTTGCGGCATTTGCAAAATTTTTGATGAGTAATCTGCTGTTAACATAGCAAGAGAGAAAGATAGATCTTGCGCTGATTACAAAAAAATTTATCAACAATTTATTGAATATCATTGTTGTGATTATTATTTATGTAAGGTACTTAATGTTCGATGTCATCCGAACAAAAATAAAAAGGGGGTGAGGAAAAAAAATAATAACCTGGAACAATATGTCTTCATCAGACTATATCTTCCACAAAAAAAAAAAAAAAATANAAAAAAAAAAAAAAAATATCCAAGTAACACAACTATCCATAAATTTTACATGTAAGATTTTAAACAGAAATATTCAGAGAGAGTTAATTTTAAATTTAGATTTCACAGGAGCTGTTCGACCTATTTCGGTTAAACTTTGTATTTTGCCTTGTAAACTTACATTCTTTAAAATGATGTAAAAATTGTGTACCTTACAAATCAAAAAATTTTCGACTAATATTAAATAAAAACTTTTCGGCTATTATTAAAAAAAATAATGATTATTTGAAAGTTATTATTATTTTTTTTTTTTTTGCATTTTATTAATTTTGAGTAAACAAATTTTATAATTGTGTGCAAAACGTAAAATTATCATTAAAGAGTCCACACTTTATATCGTTCTCCTGCCCAAAATATTGGGACCCTATTTTCCAGATTGTGGCTACTCCCTATATTTTGGGGATCTGGAATCTAAATCCGTCGTAAAAAATGGTATATTTATTCTAAGAAAGTACGTTTTTGTAACTCAACAACAACACTTTTTTCGTAACTTAAAATATCGGCTACCCTAATTAATTAGCATATTTGAGTTTACTCTATCGAATTACTAGGACTGAGTCCTAGAACGTGAAGATCGAATCTTTAGATCAAAATTTATTCTAAATAGTCCATTTTTTCCCCCGCACTGTACAGTGCGGCTTTCAGGAGAACTCCTCCAAACACCAGTCTTGCGTCGTGGCGGGTACCATGGTTACGAGGAAAAGTCACTTTGAATAGGAGTGTGGGGTGGTTTTGTCTTGATCTTTGCATAGGTCAGCGTAAGTAAACCTATCGACACCTTCATTCCTCAATTGCACCCCCATTAGAAATGTGCTCTCGCTTTTTACCATAGCAGCAGAGAGCCCCAGACTTTTAGTCTGGGGGAGTTCTCCTACAAGCCGCACTATACATTATTATTTTTATTTATATGTTACCGTTACAAATTGTTATTAAGTAGATAAAAAATGATTTGATAAGAGGGTTTAAAAGCTATATTTTATTATTATCATTATTTTACTGTATGGCTTCTTCGTTTTCATACTTTCATTCATTTGCTTCTATAACATTCTTCCTTTGATAGAGATGTCTCTCCAATTGTGGAAGATAATGCTGTTGTGGAAAATGGAAGATCTCCGTTAAATGGTCGTTCTCGAGAGCCTCTCAACATGTCGGACCTTACAATAGATGCTCTAATGTCCAAATCTCCTCAAGTGTTTGTCCAGGTAATGCTTTAATACTATTTAAATCAAATTCCTAAATTAATTGATGTTATACCACAGTTAAAATCCATTTAGTTGCGATCTCTAACATTAGAAGCCAAGCCAAAATAAATTACTCTATGTGAAACAATGCTTTAGAAACAATGCAAAAATTGGTAAAATGCGTTTTGGTCAAACTAACTGACAGATGTTACTTAATAAAAAAAACAACATTGGCTTCAAAAATATGCAGATAGAAATAAAAGTCGACTCCCATTCTCGAGACTTTCCAGGCGTGAATGAAAAAAAATCAAAGTGATTTGAAACACAAAACGTAAAATTGTCGAAGAAAAACGAACATAAAGATGAGAAACTAAACTAGAAAAACCCCAGTAGCCGAGAGTGAAACAAAAATAAGAATGTGTTGATGTTGATGGTTATTGAAGATTTTTAATAAATGAGTTTATTCATTAACATATTGAATTCAGAAAAAGCAAGTATACAACTTATAACAACTAGCAACATTGAAAGGTAAGACATAAACTATTTTGACATTGAGTGGTCATGATGGATAACAGAAAAAGAAAAACCACTGTTGCCGAGAGGGGCGAATCAGAGTAAAATGCATTTCCACGGGTTATAATGCAATTTAAATTTTCAATCATGTTTAGTTCCAAAAATAACTACATATGACTTTTAGAATGTATGAAATATGGTAACGTGATATAGACACTTTTAACGTCAAATGGTCAATTTTGCCTTTTAACTTCCAGCATGAATTAATGCAATCTTTTTTATGTCTTGTGTTGCTTATTTCATACCCCACTCAACGTCAGAATGGTTTATGTCTTGCATTTCAATTTTGCTAGTTGGTTGTTATAAGTTGTACACTTGTTTTTTTTTAAATTTAATATGTTAATGAATAAACTCATTTATTACAAATTCTTCAACAGCCACCAATACGTTGATTACTTACTAATTGCTTGTACGGCAAGACATATTAAGAAACTGAATCTGTTGTCGAATTTGTTTAATAAAACAAGTAATTAAATACATTTTCCCTATTTGATTTTAGGTTGTTGAGGAAATCGAAGAACAAAGACAAGACCACAGCCGTTATCATCACCGGCGAACTACAGCCCACTTTTCGATGCCCGATCTAACAAGAGACACTGGATCAGCCACCCCTCCAGGAAGTCCTGCCAGAGAGATACAAGACCAAAACAGTACCGGAACTGGCAATAGCAGTGGTACTGTCTCTTCCAAGAAACTTATAGTGCGTTTTAGTCCATCCACAGCGAAACTCCCTCCATCCAGTGATGATGATGAACAAAAAACGATGTCCCAGAAAGTGGAACGCTCTTCCTCATCTTCTTGTGCAGGAAGTGAAAACACTTACACAAAAACTCAAGTCACTCCATCCCCAAATAAACGGAACTCCGGAGTATTCCGGAGCAGGAGTTATGGGGACCGTTCTGAACTTGAATCCAGTTACCAAAAACCAGACGATGTTAGACCATGCCATTCTCGATACAACAGGGCAGACGATGATCGTTGTAGTACATGCTCAAGTTCAAGCTCTGATGATGATGATCCCTATGAGTTGCCACCGCGAAGAGCGTATGGTGGCGTTCGTATATCTTACGTTAGCAATGACGCACTTGCTGTAGCCCGACAGCGTTCTGGAACGCTGCAATCGTCTGGAGCAAAAAGTCTTCGAAGGAGGCGGAAACACGACGACAAAAATTGTATAGTTTCTTGATTGCGTTTTCATTTCATTGTGCGAGTACAAATGTTTGAATCACGAGCTTCCATATTCATTTTCTTACATCTTGTATAAATTGTATTTGCATATGATTTTGTAAAAGAAATTTTGATAAAAATCATTCTTTACAGATTTTAAAATAAAATAATTGTATTTCAATTTCATTTGACTTATTTTTATTTTGCATGACATGTCGTGTTCCATAACTTTCCATAATTTCAGAAATTAATCCTAAAATTAATAATTATTATCCTTGAATTTTTCCTTATAGTTTAAAATTTTTTAATTCTGTTTAATAAACAATGCTTTTTCGATTTTACTGAACATTTATTAAGAAAAACACGAAAGAAATACTATTTACAAAATATACTGAGCCGAAACTATATCAAGATATCTTAACAACCTCATTTTCAAACGACGAGGGCGCCTTTCTTTTCACATACAATATAACATATGGTTATTATCTTTTTAAGTCATCTGATTCTTAATGTTTAAACTTCTTTGTTAGGGTTTACACTGTAAGAAGTAATCATAACACTGGTTGAAGATATTATTAAAATCTCAAAATATTTATTAAATTTAATGGTATTTCGGACTTTAAGGGACATTTTATTGTGCAGCAAGGATACATTTTATAAATAGAGATTATATTTCTAACAAATTAACGATGATTTATGCGAAAAAGGGCAAATATTAATTGTGGAAAAGAGATTTAAAATTATTTATAAAAGAAATTCTTAAATTTGCAACGATAAATTAATAGGTCTTCGACTTCAATGTTTCCTAAAAGAATTGATTTTAAAGTTATGAAATAATAATTAGAATTTGAGCTATAATTAATCGTTCATAGAAATTTCAGTTGGATATCGAATATTTTTGGTGAAAACTTGATTAAAGATTTAACAGGAACGCTTAGAGTTAGGCAATTGTGCCAATGGAAACCCTATAATTTTTTAATTTAATTATTTTTTTAAGAAAATCATATGTTAAAACTGATCCACACATTTGGAATTGAAGTAAAATTTTTGTTCGAAAATATTTTTTACTCCTTAAACCTTTCAGAGTGTTTAGCGTTTTTAAAAAGTTCTTAAAGGTGCTTATTTTCCTTTTTTAAAAGCGCTAAAGGTGCTTTTTTCCATGGATGTTTTTTAAAAATGCTTAATTTTCCCTTTTCCGAAATGTGATATTTTTCTTTACCATGTTGATTTTCGCCACAAATTATGCAAAAAGACATTGTCCTATTCAACTTTTTCACAATTAATTCAACCCAAATCTATTTTGGCATACCGCCGGTCTGTAGTGTATAAAAGCACTATTTGTTTTACACGTTTGATGAAATACTTGCGTATACTGAGCTGGATTCAGTGGTAAAGATTTTTGACTCTCGTGTGCAACTCTGCTGCATTTTGCAAGAGATTCTCAATTTCAGAATTCATTTTCCGCCCTCTGTAACAGAATCGAAAAATCTCATTTTCCGCCCTCTGTAATAGAATTGAAAATCTCTCGAATTTTTGCTGATTGCGGGAACCAACTAAACATTTGTTAATTTTTTTTTCTCTATTTATGATAAAAAAATTTCATTTCTCTTGTTAATTTCGTCGTTTGTGACGCGCTATCATCTTTGTCACTTTAAATAAAACCATCAATTGTCAAAAACTTGCCAACCCTGTCTAATTTTGATATTTTTCGAAGTGCTTAAAAGTATTTTTTGTGTGCTTGAAAAGTGCTTATTTTTTGTTTAAAAATTTGGCTAAGCACCCTGCCTTTTATTTAACCTTCTAATGAAAGTTATGAACTAATAACTATATTTTGCTTAGGTTCCACACAAATGCAGAAATAAAGTGCTTTCTAAAATATATTTTTTCATAAAATACACTGTTCTTTATTTTTTTAAAAATTCATATATTTATAATTAAGGAAGTACTTGTATAGTTTAAAAAGTAAAACTTTGATTTAATAAAAACTTGATGCTTGAGCTGCATATTTTTTAATTAACTTAGTTCTTTTCTCAAAGAATATGTAAAAAATGTAGAAAAACTTATTCAATATAAAGTACTTTAGAAATTCAAAAAGAAGGTAAATAAAACTTGTTTTGGAATCAGAATTTTAAAAAAAAAAAAGTTTTCGCTACTAGGTTAAGGGGTCATCATTGAGATATTCGTTCAGTATCAATTATTCAGCTTTTCTCATAATATATTTAAAACACCAGATTTTTCAATCAAGATGAAGAACCAAATAGAGAAGATTTTTATTCGCTCACAATTGGTTGACAAATTGCAGGGAGGCCTTTAATTTCAGAATACAGCAATTCCTGTAAAACCAGATTTGATAATATTAAAAATTTTAGACAGCAAATATTTTCTTACTGTATTGAAAATTTTCTATACGAAATGCCCTATTTTGATTTATTTTTCCTGAAATACATATTATGATAACAATACCAGTCAGTATCATTCTTTGGGAGTCTCTTTCTCCCTTAACCTTAAATTTAGAGCCGTGGGGGCTCAGGTGATAGAGCATTTGCATTACAATGAAGTGAACCGGGTTCGAATCCCAACAATGGCTGGTCGATACGAATTCCACACCTGGCTCGCACCGACCACAGTGCTGACATAAAATATCCTCAGTCGTAGTGGGATCATGGGTTAGGTATTCGTGGTTTTACTCTCCATGTAACGCAAATCGGGGTTAGTTCCATCAAAAAAAGTTATTCCACTACTTGATCCAAGAGTTCCCTTGTTTTCTGAATTGGGTTCAAAAATACAAGGTTAAGGAGTTGAATATTAGTAGTCGCAAACCCAAAATTGGGTCTGCTGTTTAACGATGAGTTATGAATAACATTAAATTCAACTGTGGTCTGGGAAGGAAGGAATCTATTAATCATCTTTTTTAGTTTTCTCAATCACGCTTATGATGGATATTTACTAAAAGTAACTTTCAAAGTAAAATAAGTCAGAATACCAGAAACATCTCTCTCCAATTTGACTTATGCCGATGTTATGAGATGTAGAAAAATTTCAACTGATTGATAAAATTACCCCAATGTAATTTTGCAACCAGCATTTTCAGAAAGGTAATTTTAATCTGTTTACAAATTTTAAAATATCTTACATAATTAACAAATTGATTATTGTCTTCTTAAAAACAATAATATTAGTAACTGTGGAAAAATATTTAAACAGACAAACGTCCATCATTGTATTATCTGACCAAAAATGCTAACGATATAACTTTACGTTTTTGAAAAAAATTAGTAGTAGTTCTAAAACTTATCAAGAGATTTTTTCTCAATTTAATGAAGAAAAGTCATTATTATCCTCTTGACTTGAAAAGGTATTGTCATGTCAAATGATGATATACTATCATCAAAAATTTATTACGAAAAATAAAGAGAGAATAAAAAATTTAACATCGAGGGAATAGAGCTCTTAAACTGTTTACTATAGTGTTATAAAATTTACCAATTTTAACAAATCAAATTTATGTCGTAGTTTTTAAGAAGCGCGAATCATTTTGACATTTAAAATACTAATCTTGCAAAGTAGTACAATGACATACTTTTTTAAACAACGTTATACTATAAATAAATTTTAATTGATGTAAACAAAAAAAAATTCTAACACACTTCAAAATTTCTTTTTTACTTGAAAGAATTTTAAGTATTATTTAGTTGGTATTTATATAGCTAATTTATTACGGACAGGTTAAGTCAATGGATCTGTTACACTATTTGGAATAATCTACTTTGGATCTATTACACTATTTGGACCAATAACGATGTATTTTATACGAAATTAAATTTTCTTATTTGCTACTTGTTAAATTACCCTGAAGAACAATTTTTTTATTAAGATTTTCTTTCACAAGATAGTACAGATCTCGGATACTTTCTTATCAGTGATTTCAAATCAGCAATTGGCTTCTCTATTCAATCTAGTTTTTTAATTACATTTTTAGTCTATTTTTGGCAATATGTACTAGTTTAAAAACGTTATAGATAACAGAGGTCGCCTAAATGTAGCTACAAACTTCTAAGGGAGCATATCATCAGAATTAAAATTTGCTTAGGCACCTGTCCCCAGAAATGATGTCATACATTGTTTGGCCGCTTTCCAAATATGAAGTTTTACGACCTGTGCTTCTGAACATATTATAGTGAAGTGCCCCTAGCCATGTATGACGACATTTCTGGTCATGTCCTAAGCAGTTTTAATCCTAAAGATGTGTCCTTACTTCCTTAGAAGTGTGTCGCAATATTTACATGACCCCCTGTTATATAATAACATTTTTAAACTTGTACATTTCGTAAAAAATATAGTCTAAATATATATATATATATATATA